AATAGAGAAAACACAGCGTGAAGAGGAAGGCAGGGTTCGAGGCATTGTGTCTCCCACACAAGGAACGCCAAAGGCAGCCAGCCGCCCCCAGAGCCCGCAAGAGGGACTGGAGTAGATTCTCCCTGACAGCCTCAGAAGAACCAACCTCAGCAACACTTTGGTCTCGGATTTCCAGCCTCCAGATCCCTGAGACAGCAAATGTCTGCGTTTTAAGCCACCCAGTTTGAGGCACTTTGTTACCACAGCAGCACAGAACTAAGACAGTGCCTATATTCATAAAGAAAGGAAGAGCTCAATTTCAGTTAGAGGTTCCTGAAAATAAGGATGTCACGTTTTGGGGTGCTCAGGTCTTCTTCCACCAAGGGTGAACAGTGGTGGACAGGCTCACATAGCGGGGACCCCTGCGCTGAGTGACCGTCACACTTCAAAACCACGATGGCACCGATTCAGGGGAAGATGTCAAGGTGGCCTCATTCCCAGTCACTCTAGAAGGTTTTTCTTTTTGCTTTGCGGTAGTTTTATCTGACCTTGTCTTCTGGCTGGACCACAGCTGAGGGAGGGCATTGGTGCTGGGGTAGAAGAAGTGGGACATGGTGAGCTGCTCATTTTTACCTTTTTTTTTTTTTGTAAAATACACTTTTTAATCTTATTAAAAAATGAATGAATCAAAATATTTTTAAAAGTGAGCCAGAATAATATACACACTTCACACTGCTGCATTTAATAATGATTTCCAGCTCTAGATCTGATAAAATAACTTAACTGCAAACTTAACTTTGCAGGCAAAATGGTGATAGTAACTGACAATTTTTAATTTTTTTTCTACTAAGCAAAATAAACTGTCAAGTCTATTTCAGCAGCTCCTCCATCTAAATGATGTTTGAACCATCTCTCCGGGATCCTGTGGCTGCCCCACCAGAGCCACCGGAGAGCGCCCCGGCTCAGCTGGGACCCTTGCTGATCACCAACAAGCCAGGCGCTGACATCTGCACGCAGGTATGAACAGGGTGCCTGTGGCCTCCCCTTGGTTGAAAGGGAATTTCAAGCGTCCCCACCCGGGTAGGAATGGTTTCTTTCTCAGTCTTTCCCATCTGCTTGTGGCAGCCCAACCAAGAACGGTGGACAAAAGTCTCACTCATCGTCCCCTTTCAAGCTCGCAGATGCTGCTGCTGCTGTGGCCACAGGAAGTTCCGTGAGGTATTGCCCTGGCCACACAGCCTCAGGAGCAGCCTGTGCCCGCCTTTTGCAGCTGACCAGTGAAGGCAGGAGGAACATACCCTGTTGGAAGGGCTCTCATGTCACCTGCAGCTGTCACCTACAAATAAGGTCACATTCTGAGGTTGTGCAGGTTAGGACTTTAACACACGAATTTTTGAGGAGGGGGCCCTGACCCACAGGAGTAGAACTTGTGACTTGGCTACCAAGAGAAATCACCTGTATTTATTTTATTTCGTCTCTCAGTGGAGGAGCAGAGCCCCGCCCCTTCATCCCAGGCCCTTCCACTGCCTCAGGAAGCCTCTTCCGACCACCTCCCCTGGGGCAGGCAAAGGTCCAGGTGCTGGGGGTTCCACAACAAAGACGACAAATCTTTGCAGGGTTCAGGGCTCACAGGATGAGCCAAGCAGTAACTGGGATCTGACACAGTAGGGTGATGTGTGAGGTCTGGCAGAGACCCCAGTTGGGTGCCTCTGAATCCTCATCCCAACCAGGCCTCCACCTTTACATTTCCATGTCTGTCTCTGCACTGCCCAGTGTGAGCAAGAATCCTGCAAAGTTCGTTTGGCCAGGATCCCCCACCACCGCTATCTGATCAGTTCCTTGTCCCCCACCCTCAGTGTCTGGTCACCCTGGCCTCAGCCTCCAGATTCCCACCGTCACTATCTGATCAGTTCCTCGTCCCCCACCCTTGATGTCTCGTCACCCTGGTCTGCCTCCAACAAGGTGGGTTTAGCCAGGATCCCCCTCGCCCCTGGGGTCTCTTCTAAGTAACTTTCCACCCACTGAGCCTTCCACCCTGCTTCTGGGCTGCACCTCCCCACTTGTCCATGCTGTATTCAGAATTAAGCCCAGCTCTATATTGAGGTCTCTTTCCCCTACTGCAATAGTTCCTGAATAGAAACTGTCTTCACCTTCTACCTCCTGTCCAGCTCTGGCTTTTCTTTAACAGGGCAGGGGAAAGAACAGAGGTCTCGCCTGTGGATATTCAGGGAGACCTGCTTCAGGGAGGCTGGCCAGCAGAGGCAGGGAATCCGGAAGGGCCCCGTGGGTTCCAGAAACAGCATGGTGTACAGAGGGAAAGCTGGGAAAGGAGGCTGGAGACAGGCAGAGTGGCTCAGAGTGGCCGAGAGGAGCAAATGAGCAGTCTGGACTCTGGCCGAGGACATCATGTGACCCATGGTTCTTCTTAGGGCTTTATGGGCCCATGACTCTCGAGTCCAACAGGGCCTCTCTGTCCCATTCATCAATACAACACAGAAGCCTCCAATCAAATTAAGTGACTGGGGAGAAAAGCGATAGGGATTTGGACACATGATCACTGGTCTCAGGACTGATGAATTTAGAGCTGGAAGGCATTTTAAGGATTGTCTTAGTCACCTCGGGCAGCCACCACAAAATACCACACACTGGGTGGCTTAAATATCAGAAATGTCTTTTCTCACGGTACTGGAGACTGGAGTCTAAGATCAGGGTGCCAGCACAGCCGGGTTCTGGTGAGGGCCTCCTCCTGGCTTGCAGATGGTCGGCTTCCTGTTGTGTCCTCACAACGGCAAAGAGACAGCCCTGGTGCCTCTTCCTACAAGGACGCTCATCCCATCACGAGCGCTCTACCCTCAGGACCTCGCTGAACCTACTCAGCTCCCAATGTCCTCATCTCCAATCACCATCCCTTTGGGGGTTAGGCCTTCAACATAGGAAACGTAAGGAGACACAATTCAGTCCACAGCAAAGATCATCTCCCAGCATTTATTGAGCACCTGCTGTGTACAGTATGGCACTGGTCATGGGGAGTGGCCATGGGGGTCTACTCAGATTTCCCTCAACTGCATGGAGAGCCAAACTTGCCCCCCAGAACACACCACCAGAGGGAAGTGCTGCTCTCTTCCAACCTATCCACTGTGCTTCATGCTAGGAAGTATCACTTAACCCCCTAGACTCTTATTCTCTCCTAAACATGGAGAAGATGACCTCACCCGGTCTTGGGACTCAGACTCAAGACAGTGAGAAAGAGAAGGTGCACATGCTAGGAGGTCTGGCCCCCATTCAGGCTCTGTCCCCTCCCCTCACTCTACAATCTCCCCGCTGCTGAAGCTCTTTCTCTTTTTATTTTTTTTAACTTAAGTACCCCTACTAGGAGCTCCCAATCTCTAAGCAGCCAAAAGCAGTCAATATTTTTATAACCCGATTCTTTTAAATCTCTGATGCATTCTTTTCTGATTAATAACCCAAATAACACTGAATGATTTTATTTGAACCATTTTGTCCACGGTGTCAAATATGGTGCCTACAGATTCAGGAAGGCCAATCTACAATGGACTTTTTTAAAAAGTAAGCTTTTGATTACACAATAAGCTAAGAATCAAAGCACTGAGGTCTTTCTTCTGACCCAAAACTAAACAAATTAATACCATAGCAAAAGAAGATCACCAGAACATCATTAATAGGGCTGCCAATTATTCTGTGCAACCAACCACATTAGAAATCTCTGAAAATTTTGTAAAACTTTTTAACTGTCTACATCTAGTGAGATAACAGGAGGATGGTATCTTTAACCGCATACAAAACACCTTGAAAACAAAGACAAGTGCTATCTCCCGAAGAACATCTTCTCCCAGGTTATTCTGGAAACTTGTTGCCCTAATGGTAAAGCCACAGACTCTAGGCTGCTTAAGTAAGGTCTCCATGAAGAATTTGAGAGTGATAGGAATTCAACGTGCAAACCACAGGCAAAGGGGTGGGGAAGAAAGAGGAAGATTTTAAACAAGGGGCCAAGCGTGGTGACTCACGCCCATAATCCCAGCGCTTGGGAGGTTGAGGTCAGTGGATCGTTTGAGCTCAGGAGACCAGCCTGGCCAACATGGCGAAACCCTGTCTCTACAAAAAATACAAAAATTACCTGAGCATGGTGGCGCACACCTGTAATCCCAGCCACTCGGGAGACTGAGGCCCGAGAACCAACAATTTAATTAATTAAATAATTAATTAAAACAAGGGAGTATGATCATTCTAGAAACTGGCCTGCTGGATTTCAATTTATATAAGGCACCCTAAACCAGAGGCAATGGAAGAAATTTCCAGCACTCAGATTTAATTGTGCTACATGAAGTCATCTTAACTCTACACAGTGTGAGATTTTGTTCTTGACAAACAAGTTTGGCAATCCTTAAGATGAGAACCAAAGACTCCTTCAGTTGGCTGGCAAGGTCCTGTTGTTCCAAGTGACTTCCTCTGCCTCCCAGCCATCAGGATATCCTTGTTCCCTTTCAGCTGTGTGGAGTTTTTGTTTTGTTTTGCTTTGCTTTTTTGAGACAGGGTCTCACTCTGTCACCCAGGCTGGAGTGCGGAGGCACCGTCTTGATTCACTGCAACCTCCACCTCCCAGGGTTAAGTGATCCTCCTGCTTCAGCCTCCCAAGTAGCTGGGACTACAGGCATGCACCACCACACCCCGTGAATTTTTGTATTTTTTGTAGAGACAAGGTTTTGCTATGTTACCCAGGCTGGTCTCGAACTTCTGAGTTCAAGGCATCTGCCTACCTCTATCTCCCAAAGTGCTGGAAATACAGCCATGAGCCACTGCACCCAAACCCGTTTCAGTTCTTGACCCTCCTGCTCTTTCCCAGTTTTGCTTTCTTCTTTCTCTCTCTGCTCAGCTAACTCTTCCTTACCTTTAATCCTCATTTCCTTATCACTACTCACAGCACCCCATATTGTACTGTATCACTTTAATTATTGGGATTGTATTTTATTAATTCCTGATACAAACCTTGGAATACCACTCACCTTTCTCACTAGTCAATAACTCCAGAAGGTCAGCAGGCACCATTTTCTGTATCTTTCATCATTCTGGACAGGATGTGGCATTTAGAAGCCTAGCGGAGAGTTCTGAATGAACAAATGAGAAATGAAGCTGCCCATGTCTCCAAAAGCCAAATGATGCTTCTTTGTGACTTGGATATACTTTCTTACTTGAACACAAATGCATGGTTTCAATGGCCTCTTTTCCAGATGAAACTGTTGTACGAAAAATTTCAGAGTGTTAGGTAATTTTGCTTACATACACTGCAAAAGACTTCAATTATTCCTCAGAAGAAAGAGAATCTGGCTTATTCAATGGAGGAAGAAGTAACATCAAGAGTTTCACCCCTGCTGTTCATACAGAGGAGGCCAGTGGGTGATTACAGCCAAAGGGAGCTCCTCAGGAGTGTTGAGAAGCAGAAGTCCAGGGCACCAGCTTCTGGGCAAAGCTGCAGTGGCAGCCTGCTACCTTTCCACACCAGCAGGAGACTTTTGGTCACATCACACGTTCTCTGTTCTCACTCTTGAAAATGGAATTTTAAAAAGCACGCAGAATCAATAAAAGAGATGTTTTCATAAGCACTTTACTCCAGCCGTGCAAGGGGCAAGAATAAATGCATCCAAGATCATCCCGCCCATGCTGGGAGGCAGAGTGTGGCTGCGGGATCAGCGTCCGAGTCTAAGATTTCACTGAGAACATGTTTTAATGTGGGGACCTTTGCTTAACAGAGTAAAAAACTATTATACTAACAAAGTGATCGACCCCAGGGTCGGGACAGTTTGGCTAACAGGGATGCTGACAGTGAATCATTCTCCCCTTTTGACCACTGCCTGCCCTTGGGGTGTGGGTGTTTCTCAAAGCTTGTCCCAACTGGAACAGGGACAACAGGTCTGTATTCCAAGTCCAGCATGACTCCCCCAATTTGCCTCTTAGCCAGCAGAGACTTTGGAAGGAGCGAGTCCAGGAGGTGCTGCTGGTCTCCAGCACCTCAGTATGTCCAAGTCACCTCACACAGATGTGAAATGGGGAGACACCACGTGGTGGCAGCCACAGAGAGGCTCCACACACACCAAACCACTGCTGGGGCAGTCCTCACTGGTTATTTTCCAGATGTGAGGAAACCAACGCATCCATCATGAACCACTACCTCCTGCTGGGAAAATTCTGATAAGGAAGAACTTAAGAAAAAGAAGCCATCTCTGGCTGAATCCATCAGGATAGGAGAATTTCCCGCTTCCCTCCAAAGGAAAAGAAAAGCTTGCACATGCAGGGCGAGACCTGAGGCTGATTTCCAGAAAAGGAGAAAAGAAAACAAAAACATCAGTTGAGAAAGTTGTCTCTGTTCCTGGACCAAACTGCATAGTAGGAAGAGGGCAACTGTGCCTTTATATTCCTGCTGCCTGTGGTTATCAAAAACGACTCCAGGAATGGTCAGGAAAGTGTGATTTTGGACACAATAGAGTTGTCAGCAGCACGGTGAGTAGACACAGGCCAGCAGAGAAATACGTGGTGTCTTCCAGCCATGACTTAGGGAGCACGTTGCTAACCAGGCCATGCCTGATGCCTCCATTCCCTGTGGCTCATGCTCTTGACTATGACTGCATCATAATTTGGGCCAATCATCTGACACCACAACCCACTCCTGGCAGTGTAAGAAGAGTGAGAAGATAGGGGGGTGAGCCAGTCAACACACATTCGTCCCCCCAAGACAGTCAGTGCAGCATGGTGGGGAGGTAGAAGCCTGTGACCCTAAGGAGGCCAGGGCTGGGGTCTTCCAGTCACTCCTGCATAATCTTAGCAAATCATTTTTTCTCTCCCAACCCAAGCTCTCATTTTTAAAAGGTCACAATGCCCAATCTGAAGGTTGCTGTGAGAATTAAACGAAAGCGTTCACGGCACACGGTAGGAGTTTAATAAATGCTAGCTCCCTTTCCCTCCTTGTGCATCACAAGAACACAAGACATTCCTTCACCCCCTCCAGGAATATACGCCATCGTTTCAAATGTCAGACAGTGTTTCCGTAAGCCGCTGAAGCTGTACCTTCTCTATGCTTCCCATCACTGTGAACTTTGCACTTTTTGCAATGGAACTGTGAGAGGAAAATAAATCTTGGGACCCCAGACTCACTAAGCCAAAGGGAAGAGTCAAGCTGGCAGCTGGCTCATGCAAGCCTGCCTCCCATTTGGGTTCCTAAATAAGATGGCAACAAAGATGAAAAGCTGCATACCTCCCTCATATTTTGCCCACGAGGAAACTCCTGTGAGCCCCAAGCTCTTTACCCTACAGCATTTCTGTTAAAGTTCAACATGGTAATGTAAATTAATAGCTTATCTTCACAGGTGCGGGGGACATAGGACGGAACTCAGAGTCATCTCTTTGCCCGCCTGAAACAAATGCATATCTGATTGTTTCCTCTGCCCTGCTGTCTACATTACCTAATGTAAAAATGCAGATCCACCGAGCCAGATAAAGGCATGAATGACTATTTACCCACCTCTCACATGAAAACTGCCTATTTCTTAATATCCTGCCCTTTCCCCTGTAAATACTGAAGACCTCAAAATCATCTTAGGAGAAAGGCACAGACCTGCCTCCCGGGCGCCCATCCTTAACTTTCGCAAATAAATGTCCTGAAATGATTGAGACTTGCCTTGGTCATTTTCCTTGATTGACAGAACTGTCAGTGTCAGTCACTTCCACAAGAATGAATGATTTTTCTACAAAATAAGCCACAGAGAGGAGCAGGGAAAACTCATACTCCCCCTGCATACCAGCCTCGAGGAGCTGCGGGAAGGTCAGGGGAGCAGGCATGATCTCCCTTTGCCAAACGCTAAAGTACCTTTCCCTCATCAAGGAGCATCTCTACCCCATCTTTAAGCACACATAATAAAAAGCTTTAAAAATTTCAGCTGTCTCCTAGCAATCTGTGGCACGCTTCAAAACTCGGGAAGGAAGATGCTGACAAAGCAGAGAATGTGGGTACACTTCTTTTCAAACAATAACCCACAAATGAAAGAGGAAACTCAAATTCAACCAGAAGAAAAGCTCAATTGTTCTCCCATCCGCCTGTCACCTACATAAAACAGCTGCGAAAGCAGAGGCAGGCAAGGCAGCTGTTGCTGCCAGGAGTGTTAATGCTAAGGCTTTTCACACAGGCTTTTCTTTTCTTTTCTTTCTTTCTTTTCTTTTTCTTTTTCTTTTTTTTTTTTTTTTTTTTGAGATAGAGTCTCGTTCTGTCAACCAGGCTGGAGTGCAGTGGTGCAATCTCGGCTCACTGAGCATCCGCCTCCCGAGTCCAAGCGATTCTCCTGCCTCCCAAGTAGCTGGGATTACACAGGCGTGCACCACCATGACCAGTTAATTTTTGTATTTTTAGTAGAGATGGGGGTTTCGTCATGTTGGCCAGGCTGGTCTCAAATTCCTGACTGCAGGTGATCTGCCTGCCTCGGCCTCGCAAAGTGCTGGGATTATAGGCATGAACCACTGTGCCTGGCCCAGGCTTTTATTTTCATCAACATGAAACTGCATTGACAGGCTTTGTCAATCCTGCAACGCTGCCCATCTCCATCAGCGTCTCCACAAGGCCCTCGCCAATGGCCCCATTGAGTCCAGTTTAATATTTATTTCGTTGCATTCATGTAATGGACACAAGCTACCCCTCCCTACTGTGTCTATCCCATTAGTAAAGAACATTTAGAAAATCTTTTTTTTTTTTTTTTTGAGACAAGTTCTCACTCTTTCGCCCAGGCTGGAGTGCAGTGGCACGATCTTGGCTCACTGCAGCCTTGACCTCTCGGGCTCAAGCAATCCTCCTGCCTCAGCCTCCCAAGTACCTGGGACCAAAGGCGCAGACCACCATGCCCAGCTTTTATTTTCTGGTGGAGATGGGAGTCTCGTTATGTTGCCTGGTCTATTCTGCAACTCCTGGCTTCAAGCCATGATTCTGCCTCAGCCTCCCAATGTGCTGGGATTACAGGCATAAGCCACCATGCCCAGCCAACAAAATATTTAAAATAGGCTATTTTGACTAAGACAAAATCAAAATTATCCCACTTCCTCCATATGTTAATCCATTTTAAAAAATGAGGAAAATGTTCTCGTCTGTATTTTCTAACATCTTCAAAAACAGCTGATCCTGCAAGTACTTTCCAAAGAAAGAGACACAGTAAACAGAAATATCCAAAAACAAACAAAAAAAGAAAGGTAAAAATTCAAATAGGAGGTATGTAAGAAGAGGAACCTCAATGTGTGTAACTCCTCAAGTCACCGTACCTCAATTGCTTTGTCTATGCAGGTCCCTAGGCCTGGAATGCCCTTCCATACCTCCTCAGGTCGGCCATTCCTACATTCTTCACATGAAATGTCCCACCCTCTCGGTTTCCTCAAAGCAGAGATAAATAATTTATTACCATTTATTACTAACTTTATATATGCTTCTTTATAGCAATCATTATATTGTAATATAAAGGACACTATTTTATGAATGCCTCTGAAGCTGACCTTTGCTTTCTTCATTTGATAATTCTCGTGCCCAGCTCAGAGCCCGTGAACCCAAATGCAATGTACACTTGATGAATGAGTGGATGTGATGAGAAACCAGCCAAAGGAGAAATTAATTATTTAAACTGGAAGCATGTAACTTGGTATAGGGAAGATTTTCCTATGGAAAGTAACACTTATGGTGAAAGCTACTACAGAACACAGACAAGTCAAATGGGTATTCTAGTGTGAAGAACCGGTGCCTCTTTACTTTTCATATGTAAAATGGGGATCATTAATTCCACTTGAAGTTGTGGGATTTGCTACCAAAACAGCAAAAGTCCTCTTAGTCAGGCTATCAAAGCATAGCGTTTAGAACACGAATCAAAAAAACTCCTGGACAGTCAGTTCTATACATCTCACTTTTACCAGGGATTTATAAAGCCTGAATTACGATTTATAAAGCCTGAATTATGTTCAGAAGAGAGAGGCCAGGAGAAAGAGCGCATATATTATATGATAGAATATATGAAGAATTATACGATGGAATATGAAGAATTTTCAATGTCACTTACAATGCTTAACATTTAGAAACCATGTCTCAGAGAAAGAAAAGACTAGAACAAGAACCAGTGGGTAGAAAACACTGAGATCAAATTCAATCGGAGACTTAACAATGGTTATGCAAATAATTAGTAAAATCTAAAGGTGGAATGAGCTATTCCAGAAAATAGTT